ACTAATTAGTATTAAATAGATTCTCTTTTCCTAAGAGAACCCGTTTATATAATTATACTTAAGTTAAAGTTAAGATAAACCAAAAATATATTTTCTATGATTATCTTTCTAACTATAAGACTTAGCTTTCATATATAAGATATATGATCTTATATGTCCCTAAGTTAGTTTAGCATAAATATACTTTTAATCCCCTTAATGGTTAACTGAGAGCCAAATATCTAGTCTATACCCTCTGCCATGATGTATATCCCTGAGTTGTGCGTGTTATACAACCAGCTAGTGCTGTTATTCCAACAGAATAAATTAATAAATTAATAAACATTAGTTTATACTATTTTTATTTCTTTTAAATAGCTGTTCTTATTATTCTTGAAAGATTTTAGTAAGTTAAATTATTTAATATCTTTTGCTTTAAATTAGAAGCTTAATTAATATTTGTGTATCCTAGAATTAACTAGCTCCTTTAGCTTATTTGGTTTAGATAGGTAATTAAGGTTTTTGTTTAGTGGATTTAGTAGGTTTTTACCTTAGTTTTTACTGTTATTTCTCTAGAAGGGTTAGAAAACTTTTTTATTTTATTTATAGTATAGTTACTTTTTATATAAAGGTTACTAGTATATAGACCTTTCTTATCTTATTGCCTCTAGTAAGCTATTATTAGAGGGATTTATCTTAAGGTAAAAATTCTAGCTTTTTATTAGTTTTTTTTATAAAAGAATAGATTCTTTAGTTTTATTTTTTTTTAAAGTAAACTTTATTAATAAGGTTTATAAAAGTAGGGTTAGCTTATTTAATAATAATAAAACTGTTTAAAGGAATAAGGTTTTTGTTCTAAAGTCTTTACTTATTAATTCCTTATAAAAAATGCTTTTTTAAAGAATATTAATAAAGGATTCTTAGTATACTAAAAGTAAAGATTAGGATAACTTATTAAAAGATAAAGATAAAGCTAAAGTTATTTTTATAGTTAATAAATATTATAGTAGATTTTATAAATATATTTATATTTTATTTAAGTATTTAGATTTAGCTATAAGCTAAGTTTAAATAGTTTTCTTAAATCTTTAAAGATAAGTTACTTAAATTAATAGATATACTATTAATAAAAAAAAATATAAATACTAAGCTTATAGTAATTATTAAGTAATTTAAAGGAGTATATATCTAGTTAATAAAAGCGTTTATTTATATACTTTTAAATAATATAAATATATAGTTATTAATTAAGCTACTTAGTATAGATTTACTAGTAACAGAATTTAGTCTAGAGTTAATAGTAATAATAATAGCATAAATATATTTATTTATAATCTAATAATAATAAGTATTTTACCTAATTTAGTATAAGTACTAAAACTAGTAAGATTTAAGAAAAAGCTTAAACTTTTATCTTATTATCTTCTTTTTATTTACTAAAACTCCTATAAAGACTTAAACTTTTTTTTTTTTTAAGTTATTATAAAGTATTAAAAGAAACTTAAACCTCTATTTTATTATTTTCGTTTATTAACTTAAGTACTATAAAAATAGCTATTTTTAAATAAAAAATAGTTATATTACTATTTATTATATTTTAGTATAAATAAAATAAGTATAAAAATTAATAATTCTTATTTTATTTAGTTAACTAAGAATTAGTAATAAAATACTAAGGGGTTCTTATCTAGAGCCGTTTAAAGCATAAAGAAATCACTAGGAATCTACTAAGAATTTCCTAGTAGATTCCCTGTGGTTATAAAAGTAGGTCTTACCAGGAATTCGTAGCAAATTCCTAGCAAATACACTACTACTACGTAGGTAGACCTGCTACTATAGCGTGGTAGATCCACTATGATTTCCCAGGGATTTCCTAAGGTTGTCTCTACCTATGCAGAGAAACCTTTCTCTGTAGATTCACTACCTCTGCTTATAACTATTATATAATAATATATAACGCTATATAAAGCTTTATATTACTTAAAAAAAAGATTTATAGTTATTAATATAGTTTATTAATATACTTATATAATATAACTAATTTATAAGCTAAAAGTATTACTAAGTTAATATATTAATTAGCTTTTTTTAAGGCTAAGAACTATAAGCTTTATATAGTAAATAAGGTATTAAGTAAATACTAAAAAGCTAAAAAAACCTAATTATATCTTAAAGGGTTATTTAATATAGCTAAAGTTAAGGTAATTTAGGTAAAGAAAAAGGTTATTAATACTAGAAGCAAAAATATACGTTAAGAGAAGGCTTATATAGAGGGGGGTAAATTGTGTAGTTAGCGATATAGCAATTATAGAAAGACTAGATATAACGTATGAATATGTTAGGTAGTATGGGAGACCTCTGAAGAAGAGGATGATGAGTAGTTTTAATTGATTTCGTATAATGCTGCTTGATTAACTTACATAAATGGCTGGAGGGTAGGTGGAAGTGGGCGACTCACTATGATGGGCGACTCACTATGCATATACGTTATAACACCAACATATTCGACAATGCCGTTCTTCTTTTGATCCGGGGAACGCACAGTTCTATGCAAACACTGTTTCAGGAGCTCTATAACTCAATTGCTAGACCCATACTCCACTAGTCCCGATAAATATTGTATCGTATAGCAATTCGGTCTACTATAAAACCCATTTTGAGACCCTTCTTCTGTGCAGCACCCAACGTCCCTTCTCTTTGACTTTCATAACTGATAATCTAGCACATCCATGTACGTAATACCAAAACTTGACCTGAACATCTACTAACTGAAACCAGTATGCGTCTCACTACTTTTGTCTTGGCTGCCATAGCGTCAGTTGTTACTTTAGCTAAAGACTGTGCCATCTACTACGAATTAAACTCGCAGGTCGCCCTTAATGTGCTTGCTGAGCATGCAATCGACATGTGTCGCGACATCGGCGGCAATGTCGGGTCCAAAGACAACGGAGTTGAGAACGGTTCAATCCAGTATTGGTGCTCAGTATGCCGTGGCGCTAACGACGGCACTAAAGATTACGACCGTGATTGGAGAGGACAACGTTTGAGCGTTCGTTGTGGTTATTTCGCTGAAGGAAAGTGCCACGCATAGGCAAAACAGCATGTTGTGGATTGAAGGACGAAACTAGGATAAGCAGAATTCAATATAAACCGCACTGGAGAGAAACGCTTGTCCGTCTTAATGAAGTACTCTTTCTACGACCACAACATTAGTCACCCACAACCGGGCCACCAAAAATTCCTTCAAGGCTATAATTGACTACGAACATTCAACCTGCACAACTTTTCCCATATCGATCTTATTGACTTCTTTCATTCTACATACATATTTTTGTAAACCTGATAAGCGCCTATACCAAGTGGGAGGCTGTCTTACTAGTCAGGAAAGTAAGCTGGCGGAATGGGTTTGCATCCAGGCTTTCCTGGGGCTTTCAACAGCACATCACGAAGTAAAAGAATTTGCTGGGCGTATTCTGCGTGCCATTGATGATATCCAACCTTTACGTAAGAACGGGTTGCAGGTCTTCCAAAGATAGAACCCATCTATCAAGGTCTATAGAAGCTGAGCGATCAATACCAGACGCATCAATAGTGGGTGAGCTGAAAGCCGATCCGACAACAGACAGACCCGCCAAGCATGGGCAAGACAAAGGTGGTTTCGACCTTCAGCCGAAATGTTTCAGAGACCACGGAGGGCAGTACGTGCCAAAGAACATCCTGCCGTTCTTGTCACAGCTAGAAACCGCGTTTGTCCAAGCGGCCAATAACCCCACCATATGCAACGAATATTGAGCGTACCGCGACTACATTGGCCAGCCAGACCATCTTTACTTGGCCAAACGGTTAACTGCACACGCTAGCGGCACAAACATATGGCTTCTTTGGGATGACCTCAATCATACCGGCTCCTACAAGATCATCAATGCCTTGGAATAGGTCCTCTTAGCTAGGCGCATAGCAAAGTAGAGGATCATCACAGAGACAGAGGCAGGCTAACACAATGTAGCCACTGCAGCAATTTATGCCAAGTATGGCACAAATGATAGAATTGTTTGACGAACAGGCTTAAAAGTGGGGGAGGACTTACGTTATGGCCCTCAGCGACGGAAGGTGTTTAAGGACAACGAAAAACTAACAACCAGGAGTCAAATGGACTCGAGTAGACAAATGTGATGACCGGTTATTACTTCAAAAGTCAATTGAAGAGGCAAGGTCGGAGAACCGCAGATCATCTGTAGTATAAGTTAACTCCGCGTTAGTAAATGTTGGAATAGAACGCGTAGGATGAGATAGACCAGGACCCACTGTCAGAGGCTGGAGTCGTACAGAGTAACGAGGTCGGCGATGGACACAGGTAGGGGTGGGTGTTGACTGTTATTCCAATCTGCCTTTTCCCCTAGGTCCGCCGCAGCTGCTCCTTATATGCCCCCAGCTACCCCGCCGACGGCCCCACTAGTGCCGCGCCGGTGCCCCCCCCCCCCCCCCCCCCCCCCCCCCCCCCTCTGGGCGCCTGACACCCACGTCGAAAGTTGCTCAGCTTTCCTTTTTCAGACATTGTTACAGCAGCATATGTCCTAGAGCGGTATGCGCTCATGTCAGTTATCGGTCTCAGGAAAGTTGTACTAGCCTCCTGTAATGTCTTTGATTTCTGTCTCGAGTTGGCCGGTGGAGGTAGAAGTCTGTATTATTTTCCTGTCTTTGTCTATGACCTTATCTGTGTTTTGTACTATATGCTATATTACAGATTAGGTAAATACAGAGGATAGATTGTAGGAGTTATGAACAGTAATGAATTAACGCTCCATAGGACTATTATCTTCCTTTTATCCTCAGCTGCCCAGTCATGGTAACATCTATGTACTATGATCTATAGGTTTAACCAGAGGACCTAAAGTAATGGGAGTGACAGTTGGCAAGCTCTCCTCAGATGAGGGTGGCATAACATGCTGTAGCTGGACCTTCATCTTGAGAGACGGCGCTGAAGAAATCGGGAAAGTCGTCCCATTGATCTGTATTACAAGTTAGAGTTGAACCTATGTCGTATTGCGTTTGTGACTTGAATATGCTTACGCTGTTGATCTCTACAGACAGCCGCTTCTGTGTTATCTCTTCATCGTCAGAAGAAATCACCGGCTGCTGGACTGTTGTACTGTTGGTTGCATAACTGCTGTTGTTGCTGTGGGGTTCTGCAATATCCAGACTTTTGCCCAGTCGTTCCAAAGCTGTGTTGAGCGGTACAGTACTATGCATCATTCCTGATGCCGGCATGCTCATAACGCTTATCTTTCCGGCGAACTCGCCGTCCAAGTAGACGTATACACTGCAAGGCAACGGCAGCTCGCTGCGCTCCAGATCAACCAAGGCTGTGTACTTCTTGTACGGGAAATCGGCCTGGGACGTGGCCGGCGGCGTATAGGAGCCTGCTTGACCTCCCGGGGCGGAGCAGCCGGAACGACGATGCTTGCGCCGAGCTTTTAGCTTCCTACTGTTGCCAGCCGGGCCGTACAGCCGGTTGACAGACACTGTCACCTGACGAGCTAGGACGTCAGGACTTTGATTCCAGTCGATGATCTCAGGATACGAATAGCCAAAGTTCTTGATATCTGAGGCTGTTCTGCCTGTGTGGAAGTTGCCAGACGTGTCTCGGTAAAAGGGTTTTAGAGGACTGTCTGCGGTTATTGGAGTGTTGGCTGCCGTGGCAAAGAGAGCGCCGGACGGTATAGTCTGAGTTTGCATCTTGTTGTTGTAGTGTATAGCTTGCCACATGGCGATGAGGCGGTCGACGTTGGTATGGTGTAACATGCTGGGCGGCGCCACACGTATGAGTTTGGGACAGACATCAATCATGTCATTGTGAGATGGGAACCTACAAGAGTGGATCAAAGGCGGAATACTCTATGTAAGCCATAACCGCGTAGATGGCTGAATGCACGGCGTTGTGCACGTCCTCGAAGCTGTTTCCAGAGCTTCCCGTGCTGGCCATAGTCTCATAGTTTGCGGCGTTAGTAAAGACATCATACTATGGGGGTGATTAGTCAGAAAGTTGTCCCATGGCAGCGTATGTACCAATTTAGTACCACAGGGTGAGGCACTTATTTACCGTATTCGCCTTCAAGTCATCTTGACTGAGCTCCTGGTTGGCCAAACTAGGCCGGTTGTTCCCGTTCGAGTCCGGCCACCGTGTCGTCACGGGATAACCCCAGCAGTTGCGGTCGCCATTCCTTGGAAAGTAGTTCGAGGCCGTATTCAAAGGGAACCTCTGCCATCTGTATCCTAGTAAAGGGTTTGCCAGCTCAACCTGACCGCCGGGCCCGTTAACGGTGATGGTTGCTTGCGTTACAGCCGAAGGAAGCTGAGCACCGCCGTCGGCCGCCCAGTCCCAGTAAGGATGCCGCCAGTTATCAGCTGCCGTCTTGTACTCTTCCGCCCGACTCCCGCTGTAATTGGCGGCGATAGCCTGGATGTGATTGCCGAGGACTTGCTGTGCCGATTTTAGCCAAAAAAAACCTCTCTAGATTGCCTGTTGGATAGGTGCACACCTCGAATAGGGCGACGTAGGGTCTGTGCCACATAGGAAACTGAACGTTCTGCGAGACCATATGCTTCAATATAATGAGCGCCGTTATGAATGGCACGAAGACTTACGCCGTGAGGGCAGTACCCGGCGCCAGAACCGCCCGATACCGCGGCGACGCCATTCCAAGGAATATAGGGTCGTCCGTGGATACCTTAAAATTCAATCAGTCTGGTACCGAACAGGAACTTAATTTTGGTAACATAAATACCGCTGATCTGGAAGTACGATAGCATCTGGTCCTCTGGCGCATTTCTTTGCATTGCATCAAGGCCGAGAATGTATAGATCCCTGTGTTGTGGTGAGCTTACCAAGACTGCATTGTGTGAAAGCATAGTAGAACATTACCATTGTGCACCTGACGTCTGAAGATCATTGATGTTCTGACGCAGTGGCCGCTGGCCCGAAGTGCTGTTTATCCCCGTTTTCAGACCCGTGATCGGATACGGCCCGGATGATGATTGGGACACCTGTGCCTGCCGGCTAGATGTGGACGACGACACAGCTGCGACGGAGGGCCGTGAGGTTGGAGTGGTTGTGGCAGGCCTTTGGGGTGCATTTGTAGACGCAGGCCGTTGCGAGATTTGTGCAGTAGGTGCCGACACCTGCGAAGTTGAAGGTTTTGGGGTAGGGCGCTGCAATACCGGGCCGGGGCCTGAGCTCGGTGGCCTTGGAGGCTGCGCTCCTGAGCCTGGTGATCCTAGGGGACCACGAGCCGGGGGACCGCGGGTCGGAGGCCGCGGCAATGGAGGTAATCCCGAACCAGCGCCACGTTGAGCCTCGGCGAGGGTCGGCAGAATGCAGATTGCGACAGTAGCTGTCAGCTTACTGAGTAGAACCATGTTGACGAATTGCAGACTGCGGTCTTTGTTTCGAAATAGTGATTCTGAGGGATTCCAGCTATCGGGTTGTGTCTCTAATATAGCTTGCGGGTATTCAAGGTTCGGCTTGATCGCTAAGTCAGCAGCGTTAGGGCAATGCTAGTGTGGGCGTAGGAAACGGCTGCCGTCACACGCTACGCTTTCTTGAGGCGGAGTGGCTTGATTGCCCCTGAACTAATATGACTAGTTGGATCCTTAGGATACTGTTTTGTAATTATAAATGCAATCGTGCGGCTGTAGTTGCAGCTTAAATTCCCCGGCTCCCCCTGAGTTTTCTCCGTAATGGCAGAATATATTTTGTACCCGGCCTTCAATATCCGATAGTCACCTTACTCATCAGACCCAGGGGTTATGATGGCGCTTTTTCTAATAAGCTACCCTAGTCTCAAACCTAGTCCTAAGTCGATAGTTGTACACTAATATATAGAAGTGCCTGGCAGCGTAGTACCAATTCTAAATCGGAGGTCCGACCACGGCCGGGAGTGCTCTGAATATCATCACCCTAGTTTTCACCAAAGTCCTCGTTATCCTGGTCGGTTCTTTCTTGGGCTTGGTTGTTGTCCTCCTCCTTCTGCTTCTCTTTGACCTTCCCCTCCTTCTCCTGCTTCTTCTTCTACCTGGTCCTTGATGGTTTCCAGCAAATGGCACCGAACCAAGAGGGCGGCGTCGAGCTCGGCGCGGACCCCGGCGGGGACCGGCGCCACAGGGTCGGGAGCGGGCGAGAGGGGAGGGGTGGGAGGCGGCTGGCTGTAGTCGGCACGGGCGTTCCGAATCACCTCGCGGGTGAGGAAGACGTTGCCCTGCACGGCACTGTGGAGCACGCCGACGGGGTGGGGGCCCGAGGCCGGATTCCACAGCTGCGGCAGCCACTGGGAGCCCCAGCGCCGGGCGACGAGGTTGGAGAAGGAGAGCATCTTCCCCAGGAGGGATTCGGGGAGATTGCAGGGAGGCAGGAGGGCGGGCGGGCACCAGACGTCACCGTTGGGCCAAAGGTTGACGAGGTCACGGAGGGCGGCAGCGGCACGCAGGTCGTGGGCCAGGAACCAGGCCTCTACTTCCAGGTTGGTGAGGAGGGTGGCGGAGGCGCGCGAGGTCGATGCCGGGTTGATGCCGTGGGCGGGGACCACGGTTTGGTTGACATACTGCTGCACTAGTCTGCTGGTCGGTGTGGCCGTGGAGTGGAACGACTGTATAAAGTTCTTTTCACATCGTTAGCAACCTGTTTGATTCACACCATCTCTTGCCTTTCCCTCAAACCGCTCGCTAAATCGTAAACAATGCAACTGGGAAAAAAAGAATGAACGTACCGGGTCAAGGGCGTGCGGGCGGAGCTGTCGCTGCTGCGGCTGCTACTTGTCGTTGCCGGCAGACATAATGATGGTCGGGGCGGGCGCAGGAAAAAACGACGTAAAAAGAAGAAGGAAAAGAACAACTCGATTGTGAGGGTGGTTGAGAGAAATAGTACAGCAAGACGAAAAGAACGACGCGGAAGAACAGGCAACAAATGGATGGGTGGGCGCGTCGTGGGTGTTGTGCTCTGGACAAGGGAGGGGAAGAAAAGAAGATCGAGTCACAAAGTGAGAAAAGAGGTGGGCTGCAAGAGAATAGCCTCTAGAATCGTCAATCAGACTACCCATACAGTGAGGCGGTCAATATACAAGGGTATCAAGCAGATCCAAATACATGTTGTGACAGATAAACTCTCCGCTGTAACACGGTCATAACTTACTCTAAGCCTACTATAAGCCTACCTTGGCCACCAGGCTTTATTATCCACAATCCTGGGCCACCCACATCACCAAGGTAATGGTTACCTTAGTATTAAACCTTGTAGTACATTCTGCCATGTGCTACAGACACTTGACATCGTCAACATAGGCAACCACACACTTCCACAAAGTCCCTGTTCCTGGTTCTTTATGCAAGCAGCGCATTGCAAGGGCCATGGAGTGTAAGACTGAACCGGCGGCAAAAGCGGCCGGTTCCTCAGGAGCGAACTCAAAGTCCTTCATCTGACTCTCCCAAAACTTGACACGGTACGCCCAGTCTGCCTCCGGCCCATTAGGATCCACCCAACAGTACTCAAGAAGGTAACGCAGGCGCTGGATCTCCATCGCAAGCCGCTGCTGTGCAGCTTTGCTCTCGTTTTTGGTATCCATAACGGCGCCAAGACGAGCGAGGGAGGCAACCAGGCGCGAAGCTCGTGTGCCAAACGGCTGGCTGCTTCCAGCGTCATCTGTCGCTCCAGGTGATAGGGAAGCGCAATGCAGACTAGGGTAACCGTCAACGCCGGCCAGTCATGTAGAGGCTCATTCCTCTTGAGCACAGCGTCAGACGAGTCGGCAATCCAGTTGCCGAGGTTTGCAGTGCCATTCGCCGCCATGATGTGAAGGCCTGTGACGCCCTCGGAGAATTCAAGAGACCGTTCCCAAACGGCTCCGCGAAGGATCAGGATCTTGGAAGTAGAATGATGGCCGTGGGAAAGCGCAATGTGGAGAGGATTTGCACACAGCTCATCTGGAGCATGGAGCTGCAGGTGAAGTATATGACGCTAGGGCGATGGGCACAGGCAAATAACTTGGGCCTCGGCGTCAATATTGATGCCGGCACCACCACGGCCCAGGATGTACTCAACCAACTCATCCTGCCCTACGTGTGCCGCTGCGTGGACTGGCGCGGCGAAATCAGTTTTCGTCCCGCCAACTGAGCTAGAGCGCGGCTGCGAGTGTGGTTATTGTTGGCCAAGACATGGCCAGCGGACTGCTAAGCGAGCGCCTAGGAGGAAGGACACGAGGGACTCGGGGACGTGTTGGAGCAGGCGCTGTAGAAGGTCAAGACGTCCAGAGGTAATGACACACAGGAGTAGAGGCTCAAGGTTGAAGGATGGCTGACTGAAGAGAGGAATGATTAGCATCCACCATGGACAGCACATTTCCTCCGCGACAGTTGGTCATACCCAGCTGCGGATACGCTAAACCAAGGGTCTTTGTAGGCTTCCACGGCGCGAGGAAGCCGAAGGGGATAACGACTGAGGAAAGCCTCTTGGCGATGTATCAGCTGAGATGAGACTAGATCGACGGCGACGGCTGCAGTGTGCAGCAAGGGGTCCGAGACTGCGTGGCACACGCGTGAAATAGCAGCTAGTGCGGCAAGGTCGCGTAGCCTGGCGGATTATGGGAGATTGCCGTTGGGCGGCGGTCGAGATGGACACACAATAGCCAGACAAATGTGTTCCAAGAGATCGAGCGGTAAGAGTAGGAACATTGTCACCATTCGCGGGCTGCAATAGCAGCGCTGCTACGACCTGGGGAAAACGAACCGGCGGGTAAAGCTGGGGATAGTGATTGTGGTAACGTTGAGGACGGCGATGGCGATGGATTCGATGGTATCGGTCGGGAGTTGTTGTAAATACTTCTGCCGGAAGAGCAAGTAATTTGCAGAGTGAGGGTTGCCCCCGAAGTCGGAGATGCCACAGGGGACGCAGTCTCGTCGCGTGTGTTAGCTTGGTCGGTATCAATCGACACGATACGCTCGCTTCTTCCAGCAGTGGTGCAATCAAGGAAGAAAACGCCAGGATCCGTCAGTGCACAACAAGACGAAAAGACAAGGTGGTGCAGAGGGAGGAAGAATGCAAGTGACCAAACATCATAAGGGAAGCCGACGGGATCAAATTGCAGGTTCGTTGTTGCCTTGTGGGGCATGCGGCAGCAAGAGCGGCGAGCTCAAGGAGCAAGAGCAGAAAGACGTGATACGGTCCTGGAAGTACTGGAGACTTTGACCATGGCATGCTAAGGAGTGTTCCGGCAGAGCCTCAGGTGGTTAGCGTCTGCCGCAATATCCTGATGGCCAACGACAGCTTGCGTCGAGGTGGGGCGGCGTCGAAGATGGTACGTCGGGGTGCTTCTGGACCAATGAATTATCTGTGAGGGGAGGAGCCAGAGACCGAAGCAACATGTGGGTAGAGCCGTGTTTATAAAAGGCAGCTAGGTACCCAGGTACGTGCCTGCCTACTCCTCTTGTCTAGGTAGGTAGGTAGATTGATTTGTTAAGGCTTCTGACATTTGTATCTAGGCCAGCTTCGGCGGCAGAGCTGCGCAGCGGTGAGGAGCATAGCAGGGAGAGCAACCACAAGCCAGCAGACAGTCCAGACAAACCAGTGCGTGCGATGCACGTCAAACCAACGCAGTGTATGCATGCAATTTTGGAACCCGGTACAGAGGAGAATGCATTATGGATGCAATACACTAGAATGCGTGTCGTTCAATCAAGCACCTCCCTCTCTCTCTTTCTCCCGTCATCCCTGTATTTCCGTATTCGGCCTGCACATGGATGGCAATTGGTCGCGCGTCGCTGCTACGACTGACTCGCTGTCCGGCGTCGCATGTTAGCGCTGACATGACATGACCGCTGTGCCAGGAACCGAGGCACGTACCCCAATCTCTCCCTCGGCAGGGTGTCAACAAAGCAACAATCATTGAAACTACAACAGGGCGTTCTTGGCGGAGAAGAGGGTCCAGACTTTGCAGGCTCTTGGACTGAACTTGACCTCACCTCACCTCACCGCACAGCACAACACAACACACGGCACATTACATCAGCTACAATATCACGGTGCCTTTTATTCTTTGGTCTTCTTCCTCGCCCTCTTTTTCGCCTTCTTCCTCTTTTGTAGCGACGCACCTTGGCTCGGCTGTCAACGCGACACAAACACACAAACACACTCAATGCTCCGCTCCACCCGCGCAACGATCCAACATCGCTAATATCGTCAACCAACCCACACCCCTTTGCGCGACAAAACCACCACGTTCGCCCGTGGATTTCGGGCAACACAATGTTGTTCATTGTGACAAGCTAGTGCCACTCGCCTCCACGGCAAGATGGGAGTGGAGGTATGTGACGTGACGTGACGTAACGTAGAGAGTCCCCTTCCAGCAACCAGTCCCTTTCCTTGCCGAGAAGCGAAACGCAGTGAAATGAATGATGGCCATCCATCCATATGCTCCTTTACCAAACATTTTCACTTGTCACTTGAATGATTCGCCGAATCTTACTTGTCACGTCCAAAACAGGCTTCTCCAACCCTCTCGGCCGCCCTCGGCGGCTACGAACCCTTTGACCATGTTGACCACGACAACAATAACCGCCAGGCCCTGCTCCAGCGACTGCATCGTCTTGCGTTTGGCCTCGATTCCGGCCCGTAGTCCCAGAGAGACCTTTTGCAAAACACCTGCGGCTTCCGCCTTGAGCCCCGAGTCCTTCGTGACTTTGTCGGCCGCCTCGAATCCGACCCCGAAATCAATCATCAAAAGCTTTCTTCGAGTACAACTTCGTCAATGGCATCGCCCGCTTCAAGATGCCCGAGTCACCCAAGCCGTCAGCGACGCCCTGTCAGTGCCCGACAACCTCGAAGTCGTGAATTTGCCCAACTTCCCCCTTCATCACCCACACGACGGCGGCCGGACACTGCCTGATGCCGCCTGGACTATCCTCGACCAGGAGGCCCACCCCACCAACCAGCACCCAGTTGTTGCCGCCGAGGTTGCGGTCTCGAGCCCTCGCACGCTCCACGAACTGGCTCAGCGCGCGTGTGACATCATTGAGGACTCTAACGACGGCATTTTGAGCGCCGTTGTAGCTAGCAAGCTTTAGTACAGTCCTGATTAGCCATCATACGCCATTCTTGACAACATCAAAGATTCCTTTGTCGGCGTTTGGGTGTCACAGCCAGAAACAGATGATGGGAATGACAAGGACAAGAAGCGAAGGGCCGTTTGCATCGTGGACTGGACAGCCATCAACACGTCTAATTCACGCCTCGTTATGCAGACCTCGTGGTTTTTGGGCGACAAGCAAACAACCGCCCGCAGTCACCCTGAAGCTACGTAAGTTTTCCCCGATATTTGACGTCGTTGGTCTCGGAGACAGCTGACTTTGTGATTTTACCAACTGGGATGCCAGACCATATCCTGATCCCCTTCAGTACCCTGCTTAGAAAGCTGCGGACAGCAGCTCGCCTCGCCCCGGTGTGAGCCCCGGTGTCACCGGTTGCTTTTTGCCGATCTGGCAGGCAAGCAAGCGGTGTGCTTTATTTCTACGCAGTTAGTGGCCAAAGGATTCAAGGGATCGAATGGACAAACGTGGGACGATGAAATTCGAGGGGCTACAATGGAGCAAAATGGGTAAGACGATGGACGGGCTTATCAAGGGGGCACTATATCCTCGAGGTCGTGCTTGGAACTTGCTTTGCCATCATCCTTGAGACGGGCACGGCGAAGCAATAACCGCCTAATGTTAACTATAAGTAGTGTCCCCCGACGGGAACATGCAAAATGAAAAAATGCCGGCAGATGCCATTGGAGATGGTTGGGTAGTTGGTAAATCAACCAAAAAATACGCACACCCTCGCGATCATCCCCCAGCTCTATAGTCCCTGACATGGATTTGGGTGGGCGAACGGCTCAATGACTGGGCGGGGCGGTAGATACTCTTAAAGCAACACTGTATTTTATTGCTGCTAGGCATAGTACGTAAAGGGATTACTAAGATGATGCTATGGTTTATGGTAGCCTCTAATAGATGCTATTATCAATATATTACACGTGGTCTTATGCCGACCTGCCAGTAATATACGTTGTAGAAAGTGAAGTAGAGGTGTCGCATGGCTTTTATCACTAGATAATCAGTGACCTTGAGTGTGTTTTGGTAACAAAACCCCTTCTCCAGGTGAAGAGGGTTGCGTCGCAGGTGAGGATCGGGATGATGGGAAGAAGTGTCGGATGTGTGATGACGAGGGGTGTTGGAGATGAGACGTGGCCTGAAGACGGGTTATCAAGACAAGGCACTAAAAGATCATCTTGAGAAGCAACACGCACCCAGCCATAGCCTTTTAGCAGAGGGGAGGGGATGCAACGAAACGACTTGACTTGAACGCCTGTCAAACGCGGGCTGTGTGGTGGCGCGATAGTCTGTGGTGGCGCGATAGTCTGTGATGTCGACACGAGTGTTTGCCGGTGGTTATACTTGCAGGCCATAGCCATTGATCCACAATAGTGCTGGTGGCCAAATGGCTAGTGAACTCTGGTCGTAGCGGTCACGTTTCGTGTGTTAAGGTGTGTCAAGGGGGATCCAAGAGGGACTAGCTCAACGACGAAACTCAGTCGGTACCAGCGTACGCGTCTTACAAGATGTTTGGAGTCGTGTTACAAGGTAATCAAGCACAAAGAAGCCAGACATAAATTGTTAAACGTTACGCGACATGGCTATAAAAGTAACGCTACAATGGAGGTAAATGAAATAATGATTATGTCAAGACTAGACTCCTAGACACACTACATCTAGGTTCACACATCCCCAAAACCAACCACTCGCTTATATCATAACCCATTTCAGATAAAGTAACACAGCCAGTAGTAGAGCCAGCAGGAGGTAGCAGTGAAGATGCACCACATCCATCCCATTTCCAGCCACAATAACAATTCTCTGTGGCCTTCATCTCCTGTCAAACTCTTATCCATTTATTATTCAAACAATCATCAACAATCGGCACAAAAATCAGGCATTGCCTTCTCTTTCTCTACAACAAGACACTTCATCTTCTACACCGCTTCTATTTTTGATGGCCTCAATCAGGTTCATCACGTGCTGCTGATACTCGCTGACTGGAATGGAAGTCTTCGTCACGTCGGTTTTGGTGCCTGACTGTGTCGTCAAGTCCCCTCGCCTCCGTTGCTGACGTTTCGCACTGGTAGAGGGGGCGTTGTCCCCGCGCCCCCTAGGTGCTGCGGCAACGGAGGGCATCTTGGACAAGAGTTGCTCCCGCGACGGGCCCACAGAGGCGGCTCGTTTCAGTGGACGAGAGAGACGTATGGGTGGGGCCGAAGGTGTGGGGCCGCCTGCGGTGTCCGAAGAGGGGGAAACGTTGGGGATGACGGAGTGCGACCGCTTCTTTCCTGGGTGCTGCGGGCGTCCTTCATCAGTTGCAAGGATGTCACCACAATTGATTCGGGCCTGTGCGGAAGCCTGCAAGATGCTTGGCCCAGCGACAGCCTCCTTGGCAGGTGGTGGAGGGTTGGAGCTCTTGTGCGATATTCTTAATGGTTGCGTTGTTGTAATTAGCGGTGCCGAGACTAGAGCGCTATCGTCAAGGAGCGGGAGGCGGGGTGGCTCCGCAATCTCCTTAGTCGCGGAACAAGAGTGGGGATTATATCCGTTCCAGCCGCCGTAGGACGCCATGGAGTTCGAGTCTTCGGCAACCAGGTCCATGCACCACCACCCGAGGCCGACCCCGAGGTCACGGACGGCGGCAGAGCCTGGAGGCGCCGAAGGCGGACTGTTGGCGAGCATGACGTCTGGTGTCGGCTGCAGACAGTAGGGATCTGACATGATGGCCTCGTGGTTTTGTAGAGCGTGTGCCTGGAGCTCGTTGGCGGTGACGTAGTCGGCGAAGGGTGCATCTACCTCTGACCAGAGGGGCCATTGTTCCGGCGTCTGAAGCAGTGATGCTGGGTCCTGCTCCATTGCGATGGGCTTGGCTTTGCTTTTTTGGCGACTCCAGCCAAGATGTGGGTGGAAAAGCCGCTCAAGAGAATACGAACAAGGTGTGTGGTGACTAAGCTGTCGTCGTTATCGTCCTCGGCACCGAGAAAAAGAAAGAATATCGACATGGAGATAGAGAGGCAGCAGGAGAGTGAGTGGAAAAGGGGGGCTGAGGGCTGTTCTTCAATTTGTATCTTCCCCTATTGCTCTCCTCGCCTCCCTCCCTCGCCCAGATGATGTGACTGGTGCAGCACAGCAAAGCGCCTTTGAGTCGTCCTTGCGCCAGCTTTTTAGCGTTTGCGTCCCGTTGGTCCATGACGCAGAGCGAATCACTCGCATTCAAGCCCATGGATGCACGGTGGCGAGAAACAGAAGTTGTTTGTCGAGCGGGCGACGCACTTCTCCGGCAGCGATAGGGTCAGACCGGGTTTGGCTTTGCTTCCTGTGGGATGGATGCATCATCGAGACGAGAAGGGAGGATTGCCAGCAAGACTAGTCATGACGACGAGACGGCCATCTGCATGGCGGCCACACTCAACTCTTTAGCATCACCAAGTCAAGTGGCGCAAAGAGAGGTAACTGTCGCTCTGCTCCTGGCACAACTGCGGCGCGTGTGAAGTTTCAAGGAGGGCGACGGGAAAGCAAGTGGTGGGGGCAAGAGTGTAGCGTGGCGCAACGCAACGCAACGCAACGCAGCGCAGCGCAACGGGATAGGCCGTCAAAGTTTACGGCCGTAGGTGGACGGGGGTCAGTCAGCAGATGGGGGTGCGTGGACGGGACACGATATCAGCCGGCCGTGTTGGAGTGGAGACGAGACCTCCCGGAGCGGTAAATAATACGTGACTGCGGGGAGCCGAGGGTACGGGAGTGTGAGTGCGGGTTGAACGTGTGCCCCCGGCTGCCAAGAAAGATAGAGAAGAATGATATGTGGCCTGGAACCAATCAAAACGAGATGGCGATGATGGATGGGTGGCTGCTATGGATCGACTGTAAACAGAACCAAAACCGAGCTGGAGAGACTAAAGATTTGTAATTTTTCGGTCGGGAAAGGCACTTTCCGGTACTGTACCCACACCACCCCGATGCGCGCCGCCGTGCCCCCACGCGCACTCTGGATAACCGGGACTATCCGGCCGCCTCGCTCCGTACCGCCGCTAAGTCGGTACCCAACCACAAATAAGGAAAGGAAGAGAAAGGGGAAAGACTGGTCACTCATGCCCTGCTTCGGCGAAGAAATCGATTACACGAATAAAACTTCGTGTCATGAGTCGTGGTGGTTGGAGTAGGACCAGGTGAAGGATGAGGGACTGTAAGAGAAAGTGAAATGAGACTGAGAAGGAGGGGTGGAGTGAAGAAGAGAAAAGAGAGAAGAGAGAAGGGGGGGACGACATGAGCCACGTTGTCTAGGTATGGTGGTCCCAGGGCGTTGGCGGAGGCAGGAGCCAGCCGAAAGAGGCAAGAGGCAACGGCAAGAGGTGAGAGGTACGTATCTAAGAGGCATGAGATGAGTGGCAAGGAGCATCTATCTCTACCTCTCTCCTTTCATTCCGCCTGCATTAGCACCTGCCTGCCTGCCTTTGCACCGTTTGCACCTGCAGCTTAACTGAAGGCTCTCCGCCTTGAGTTCCAGGGTAGATCTAGCGCCTGATCCCGCACTGGCTCCATCTGCAGCAACATGTAAAATATCTGCGCAGGCCGCCATCAATACCTCCAATCTTGCCCGCCCTCACTGGGATCCTGTCTGCACCTTTTACACCGTGGGATACTAGATGTGGTACCTAGGTGCACACATGCTGCCCGATACCGGCTCCGGGCCGCACCAGGTCTCAAGACCTTTGACGGTGGAAAAAGGTATCGCGGCAGGGTGAGATGTGCAGGATCACTCTGTATGTGCTGGCTTTCTACTTGAATACTGGCAACGCCAACAGCTAGCTCAGGCTGGTCGGTCCGCTGATCCCAAATGGGCTGTCACCCAACGCAAGTTATTGCCACTGTCACCTTGTTTCCCTACTGCTTCCCCGTCGCCAATTTGTTTCTTCCAGGCTACTGCAGGAAGACTATATTGGTGAGGATAGCATCATGTGCCGGAAATCAACTGCGCGCTTCAACTGCTGCGCCGAAGCCCAAGGTACCTAGTTATTCTTTTGGACTTGGTGATGTGCCACCTCAGCGCTGGCCACACGTGGCTGGAGAGGTCACCATCCATAACCTTCCAGACTCGGTAAATGATTCTAGCCCATGCAACGATGCCCGTGCCCATGACCATGCCCATGACCATGCTCATGTCGTCCATACTCATGCTGATGCCGTGATGCTTAAGTCGCCATCGCGCAGCGCTCTCAATCGGGCGGTGTCGCAGCCTCAACACTTCCGCGGCTGCTGACGCGCCTCCGTCGCCATACCATCGCCGTCGCCTGTTTCACTCTCAAGGCCGTCACCAGGATGATCATGACGACGGGCTTCCTCACCGAGACCCCCGGTGGAAGCAGCTTGAAGCACAGTACTCTCTCTGCCACCTTTGTAGATAACGAGCATACGCGTATCCAACTGCGGCACCTGGTCGAGAAGACAGTGCCGCTGATGGGTGCCTTCACCAGGGCAACGAAGCTCTGGGGCGACACCAAGGTGCCTAACCAGACGGCGTACAATCTCGCTTTCGAGACGGACCTGCCTTTCTTCGAGCACCTCAAGTCTCAACCAGACCTCAGCAATGAGTTTGACTCGTACATGAAGAGCCAGGCGGTGGCGCACTCAGGAGCCAGGGTCGACCACGTCCTGCGCGGGTTCGACTGGGCGGCGCTGAAAGCCGAGGCCGTGGTTGTTGATGTATTTGAAAGGGTCCGTCCCAAGTACAACTATGTTCTGCTTGCTAATAAGATAATCACCACAGGTCGGCGGCGGTGCCGGCGCTGCAGCCAAAACTATAGCCGCGGCACACCCGAACCTCCGCATCGTCGTGCAAGACCTCACGGGGCCCATCCGCAACGCCCGTGAGCAGCTCGCTGTTCTTCCGTAGGACGTTGCTGCGCGCATCAGCCTTCAGCAGCACGACATGTTCGACGAGCAGCCGGTCCGAGGCGCGGATGTCTATTTCCTCCGGACCATCATCCACGACTGGCCTGATGCCGAGTCGACCATGATCCTGCGGCGTCACGTGGCAGCCATGAAACCCGACAGCCGCATCGTCATCATAGACATGGTCTTACCTGATCCCGGCGCCGGCTCGTGATCGTTCGAGGCGGCACTGCAGCAGAAGGACCTGGCCATGACGCAGACCTTCAACACGAGGGAGAGGGAGTTGTCTGAGTGTGAGAGCCTCATTGCGGCCGTAGATGAACACGGCCGGAGGGTTCTCAGCAGTCTGTCATTGAGGTGGGATTCCGTAATAGTAGTTAGTGAATAAAGATTCATGTCGTGGAATCCGTTTCCCGGCAATTGCAAGTCAAGTTAAGGGTGGTTTCAGAACGACCAAAGGTCATAAGAGGCTTTCAATGAAGCTGGTCAATTATTAGAGTCTTGGGCTAGATCAAGAGTTGGTTGAAGCGAGGGTTTAGAGTATTAGAATAACTGCAGACAATTGAGATCATCTTGAGTAGCTTCGTACTGTTCATCGACTGCTCCCGGTTCAACTAAAAGATCTCATGTACTCCTGTTATGCCGTTACACCTTGGAGGCCATCCCAGCCACTTTATTCCACTTTTCCATCAACTGGTGAAACCGCCAGCTCCACGCCATCTAGAATGGCATGATTACCCCCCTCGCCCCCGAAGATGGGCATAGCATGTACCGCATCAACAACAAACACCACGCCCGTCTGAGCCGCCTCGTCCAAGTCCCCACGCGTTGCTTGCACCGCCCAGATGAGGCAGTTGTGCACCTTGTCCTTCTTGATAGCGTCCACGTCAACGAGGGCCGAGAAGGGCGGCGCCAGATCTTTGGCGCGGATCTTCTTCAGCAGATGTTGTGGTACCTTGATTATGCCCGACTGGTCGGTCATCCAGAGAGGGCCCTTTTCGCCCTGTTGTGCGCGAGAATACCTCCAGTCTAGATCGATTTCCTCGTTCCCCATGCTGTTGGCGACGGTTACGAAGGTGTTGAAGTTGTCGCCCACGCCCGCGGCTATAGTGGACTCCCCGACGTAAGGGGCCCATATTTGGCGCCTTCATGTGTTGTCCATCCGTCTCTTGCCGTGGAAGCGGACGACGGGAAGTAACTGGGCCTCCAGGTCCGGTAGGAGGCAGTTCCGAACTGTGAGATTTTAATGCCATGCATCTTGGTCATTGTAGACAGGAATTGACCGGGTGTTACCGCTTGAGTGCACGCCATCTGCGGCAACGATCATGGATCCAGTCACCTCCTCGCCATTTTCAAAAACAGCCGTGACATTACCAGGCTGTCCTCTCACTGCCGTCAACTTGAGGCCATGGCGAATCTCCACACCAAGACTCAACCAATTCCGCAACACGCTCCTGTTCGCCCTAAACAAGGCGGCCTCATCCCCAGTTCTGGGTGGTTCCGGGTTGAACAGAGACTTACCGGTCTCGTTAGCTCGGAACGTTAGGTCGACCCATCCACAACCTCCGAGAAGACAGTCCACAGCCACTTGTTTCTGGAAAGCCTCGACAGACATACTGTCCAGTACTGCTAAGAGAGGCTTGAACGCCCAGTCTCGGACGGTAATTGCGTAGCCATGAGTGGTGTCTGGTGCATATCGCTCGAGGACAATACATGGTATCCCCCGCTGTTTCAAGATTCGAGCCACCGTCAGGCCGGCGATGCCGCGACCTATGATCAGGATTCGTTTATCGGTCATGTTCCAGCTACTTGCATGGACGTCAACAAGAAGGCAATGTCCATCCAAGACTAAGACGAAAGCAAAATGTGCAAAGAGTGGATATGGGACAAAGGCTGGGTATGGACTGTGAGAGACCCTGCTGGCTGGGCTCATGGGACCGGCGGACTCCGGTTCTGCATAGAGACGTCGCTCAGCGAGCCCACCGGAGACAAACGTCCGGGGCGTCGTGTGTTCCCATTGGTCCGTTGTGGCCCGGTGCGAAGACAACGTAAGCGAGTGGACACCGCGGTCTTTTCCATGCCGACAGTAGAACGTGCATGATTCAGATGGAAAGCCAAAGGAAGTATCAATTGCGCAGGTTTGGGACATGATTTTGAGGCATCCTGAATAAGTCATTATGCTGGCCAACATGAAGCCCATCAAGATCTATGGGCATGTCGCCGTAGGTCACGTTTGCCATTGCGTTGTCTCACCAAAAATACTGATACAGTCTGTAGGGTCCACACCCGTGGAAGGTCGTCGTCCTCCTAAAGGAACTCGGCTTACCCTAAGAGATTGAGTTTCTCACCGCGGATGAGATGAAGGTTGCTCCGTACATAGACATCTATCCCAATGGCAGAGTCCCCACTATAGTAGACCCAAACAACGACATCACGTTGTGGGAGGTATCTTCAGCGACCATTGCATGGCGGCACCAGACTGGTTGACCCGAAAAGTTCGGAACGATCATCGAGTACCTCGAAGACATGTACGATCATGATGTTAAACTGAAGTATAACACCTTTCCCAAGAAATGCCACCAGACAAATTGGAAGGACTATCAAATCGCTGGGCATGATCTGTTCTTGGGGCAAAAGGCCTATTTTACAATGGTAACCACAACGTCTCCCCGAATTCCCCTATAGCCGTACCTGATATGATGTTAGTTTCACACCGACCAGAACATCTCGTCCGTTCACGAACACTATGGGAACATGGTACGGTGGGCTCTCGGGGTTGTGGAGCGTCAGCTCGCCAAGACAGAGCGTTCTTACCTGGTGGGCGACAAGTGTACGTATGCCGACGTCATGTACATTCCTTTCCATTTGGTGCTTGCAGACAAACTCATGCGCAACGTCAGTGATGACTTTGAGCAGGAGTGGAAGGAAAGTTTCCGCGATGCTATGAGTGAAACATGCGGATCGTAAGACGCGAGAGTGTCCAGCAGGAACTGGAGGAGAAGTACCGAGTGATGGACGCTGCAGGATGGCCGCGCTGAATTACGAGCTCATTTGTATTCCAAGAGAACAGACGCTGAACAGAAATAGCCAGCCCAGAAAATCGGTAACTTCATCCGTTGAAGGCCTTTCCTTTTGACTCTTCACCCCTTGACTACATGCAACACTAAATATCCTGACTTTGACTTCCTCTCCACGTACGCTCAAAGCCCTATCAGGAATGACTTCGGAAGACGACAAGACAGGCTCCGGGGAAGTCGGCGCCTGTTCTGGGAAAAATGCACAGGTCCTGTTGGGACTCTTATCGGCTGACAACATCTCGGCCTCATACATGTGCCAATAGACGTCGTTGGTGACAGCGACGCCAAACGGTTGTTGAACGGGTTGGTTTCATCCCAATGGGACTCCCAGTCTTCCGAGCTCCAGCTGCTACCATCTTCTGTTGGCTCCAGCCTACCTAAAGCCGTACACCACAGCTTGCATTGTTGGACATTCACCGCCCTTGTTTCTTCCTCGTTGAGCGCCACCTCGTCCTTATCATCGTCGGAATTTTCTTTGTCAAAATTCAAATTTCCCTCCCTAGTTTCCGATTCCTAACTTCCACAGTACCACGCACCCTGCCACCGAGGGATTTACAGAGGACTTGTTGTAGAAGGCATGTCTGCAAAGGTCCTTCTAAAGGGTATAGTAAGTGTCGCGATGCCCTCACGGACATCGCGCAGCCTTGTGAGATTTGCGCCGGGCCCGGATTAACTATTAGTCCGGTCCCTTCGTGCGGATCCACCACGCAGGATACGTATTTATTCGTTTCGGACAAGGCAATCCTGCACGTAGAAATCCAGCCGTTTTCCTTATGTCTTTTCCACCCTAAGTGGTGACTCTATGACAGTAAGAATATGGATATAAAGGCCGTGATCGATAATGATTTACAGATGTTACATAAGGAAGATTATGAAAGGCCGTCACAGGGTTGTCACGGAATGATCCAGCCGACAGGTGTGCGGTGTGCCCACATAAATCTTGGACCGGGCCAACCTTTGGTTGCGGTACATTAGTGTCAACCTGATAGGCGGCCAAATGTTACGCCGACTGCCCAGCCATCTAACAAATAGACGCTTTCCATGTAATCGTCACTTGTACCTTGACCAAGGCCTTAGCAACGTAACCAAGAACTCACAGGGCTAGTGATAAAAAACATATCACGACCAGATTTACAGACCCTTGGACATCACAGTACAACCAGGGCGACACCAGCCACTTAGAGAACTATGCCATTGAAATCAGCTCGTGATTCGGCACATAAGGGGATTTCCCAAGAGGCACAATGAACAACAGGGATATCCTATAAATTGACGTACTTCAATACCTAACACAATTAACGATAGTACAGGTTCTTTATTCCCGGTCTGCCGCGGATTCTTCACTGTGGAGACGACCAACTTCGCAGGTAGTGATAAGTCGTGTCGCATTACCGACATAAGCAACCAGTCCCTCTCCCAATGAACGCCACCATTGGCCATCGCAAAGAGACCAACAGGCAGCCTTCCATCTCCAAGTACACTTCTCAGCCGCACATAGAACTTACAAGGAACGATGTATCAGAGTCCGCCAATTACTGTTCTTTATGCAAATCCGTGTAACATCAAATATCACCTGATCTTAACCACCACAAACACACCAGCTACCAAAACAAGAAGGGTTCTCAGGGCATACCAGAAGCAAAATCCTCAGTGAGGTACTTAACCGGTCGCCTAACATTTTTCTCCTGGCGTCTCGCCCCTCTCGCTAACGCAGCTGACGATGCGTCCACTTTGTATCTGCCAGCCGACCAAATCGACAAAACTCGCAAGCCCAGGGTCTCACTTTGCAGGTCGCCGAAGCAAAGAGGGCCATGGCCCTGCCTAAGAATTGGAGATTCACGAAACGCAGCGAAGAGGTGATTCTCGTTCGCGACTTGCTCGAAATGATCGTGGATTGGATCAACAGTTTCAAGGCCATTGGCGACACTGTTGGTCAGTTTGACCCTACACACGCAGCACTGACATGGGCAGCTGTCAGATTCCTCCTCCAAATTGCCGTCTCTGAGGTGGAGCTTTTCGGCGCTCTCGTGAACGACTGTATGTAAGCTTTTCTGAAAAAGCCGTGTTCAGCCATCTGACGGCGTTGATAGTGGAGTATATCGCGAGGATGATGGTGCGCTACCGTGCCTTCGAGGCATTTTACCTGCGAGGATCGCAATCCGAAATGGAAAAGACGCTCGGTGACTTCCTCGTTCACCTGTACGCCGAGATCTTGACCCACCCAAGCTACGCAGTGATGTTCTTCGAAAAGGATTACCTTAGTAAGTTATTTGTCTCTGGGATCCAGCAAATCCATCTAGGCCCTGGTCGCCACCATTGGCCTGCTTATACGTCTCAAATCACTTCTACCGGATACTGGCATGCTTTCTTTTCTCCAAGAACGACTCCTCAAGAGCCCTTCCGCTCCATCGACCGAGAACGGAAGAAGATCATGTGAGCAAGAGAAGAGGCGTCCGATGCCTTCGTCAATCTGGTGGATGGTGGGACACTTCGAGCATGTAAAACGGCTTTCATAAGACTGTCGATCCAAACCACACGAGAGCTCATCGAGGAGAAGTACAACACCATTGTCGGTGACACGGTACCGAGATCATCACAAATTGCTTGCTCAGTCTCGGTCTCATCTTCCCGACGCGGGTCAATGGTTTCTTAGCCACTTGGAGTATCAAAGCTGGCAGAGCTCAAGCTCAAGCTCACTTTTACTTGTTCACGGCATTCCAGGCGCTGGTAAATCGACCCTAAGCTCTGTGGTGGTCGACGCATTGTTCGAGTCGGCAGCAACCACTCCTGATCTGGCCTCCTTCGGCTACTTATACTGCGCCAATCCTGAGTCAGAAAAAGCCCGCCGCTCCGTTGACGATGAAATAAGAACTATTCTATCTCAGGTGGCTGGCGATACGACTCAAAAAATAAAGTATGGGAGTTTATTTGCGACGAATATGATGAACAAGGTTCTTACGGCGAGAGCCGGAGAATGGATCTGCCCAAGCTGACAACAAAGAACTGCGTGAGATTGATCCTTGAATTAGCTCAGCAGGATCCCATAACTATTATCTTGGACGGGCTTGATAGCGTCGATGACACCGAGCGTCCACACTCTCATTGTCGCACTGAGAGACATTGTATCCAAAGCAGATAATATCGTCAAGGTCTTCGTCACCAGCAGGACCTCGGGTCGCGCTGGCGCAGTACCCAACGCCGAGTTCAAGATCCACGTAACGAGCCAGGAGACTCAGTCAGATATGGAAGCATTCGTTGATCACTTAATCGACCACAGACATACAACACCAGGTATTCGCTGGTCATCACCGACCCAACTACTAATCCGGCTCTCACTAGTCTTTTCTAGATGGAGCAGAGGCAGCCTGTCTCGTGAAGACTTCACTAACCCGAAATGGTGGGCATGGCTCCTTGAAACGGACGGAGCGGAGCATAGTAAAAGCGATACAGAGGCATCTTAAACGGGAATCTTGAGTGGGTGCCGATTTGTCGTGGCCAACTTGTTTGGGCATGAGGCATTAGGATCGGAGGAAGTGGCCCGAGCGGCACAAAAGGGGTCGTGGTACAATCCCTGCCTTACACCCCTCAATCTACTCGCTTTTCGGCCTCACTTTTGGCTCCGTTCGTTTGCCTTTAGCTTTCTGGAATGAGCTGTTACTGCATAGTCTTGCAACATTCCTTAATCCAACAAATGAGAATCGATAAAGCCACTGTAAATGGCTGGGTTATCCAACTGACACCCCCCACTAGGTACCATATACATCGTACGACATTCCTGGTTCGGCTATCTTATCAATCAAACCCTTCTTACCAATATCTCCTCAACTAGGCCCGGACAGCCAACCGGGTGTCCAGGGATCAACTCCGGCCCATCGCTCGCAGTCTAGCCCCCCACACCCGCAGCAATAGCGGCACTGGGCAGCCGAGACCAATGAACAGGAAGGCGAGCATACTGTTGCCCCATCCGTACCCTAAACGCGCAAATAGCTGTGGCGCAAAGATAGGAAACACGAATCCCAGCACGTTGGAGAGCATGCGACTCGCCGCATTTGCAGACGCTGCATGTGAGAACTCATCAAGCAGGTACGCAAGCATGGCCTGCGCTAACAGGAAGCTGCCGCACACGAAAACAGCCACCCCAGCATCTACTACCAGCCAGTGTGCGCCTATCTCGGCCGCCCACCCGTACCAGAGGAGGCCGATAGGGATCAGGATGACGGGCGGAACAAGGCACGGCACGCGGAACTCAGGGCTAGTACTGCCGTCCGGTGAGCGCGCCTTCTGTTTCGCGAAGACCCAGTCCATGAAGCGGCCTCCAGCCTGCGTGGCAACGGTTGTACCTAGTGAGACGGCGATGTAGTGGAGCGTACTGATGAACTCGGACTGCCCGTAACGGTTGATCCACAGCGTGGCGAGGGTGGACAGTAGAAGGCAGTAGACGCCAAAGTTCAAGGCCATGATCAGAGCTATGACCTGGATGATTGGCCGTTGCCAGATCAGCTGCATCGGCCGGCGCAGATTGGCAGCCATCTTGGAAGCCGCCACCCGAAACAACGTCGGTCCTGGCGAAGAGGCCCCAGTGGTAGCAACTTCTGCTTTGCGCCTGCGAGCTAGCAACACGGGAGTGTAGCTCTCCCTTACCAAGACGAGTCCAATGACCCAGACAATGGCGTTTAAGATACTTAGAAGGTAGAAAAGCCACGGCCAATCCAGCTTCTGTGTTATGATGCCGCCTACGATGGGGCCCAGCGCCGGTCCAGGTACGGCACAAAGGTTGCGATAGCGAGGGATTTGCCGCGGTCCTCCTTACAGTACATGTCAGCCATAATAGGGCCCGTCAACTAGGCAGTGAGACGTTAGCCTAGGCCTTAGCCGAGTTTCCAAGTCGCATCTACCGTGATGCCTACGCTCGCACCCGAGCCGGCCAGGAATCTGCTGACAACCATTATCACCGGCGAGCGGCCGACCGGGCAGAGGGCGTTCCAAAGCACGTAGAAGGCGTTGCAAAAGAGCCAAACTGGCTTACGCCCGTACATCTCCGAGAAAGACGCGATGGGAAACGGCGCAAAGGCGAGGCCGAGGATGAAGATGGAGAAGGTAACTTGGGTTATGGACTCGTCAATTCCCAGGTCGTGGCTGAGACGGCCTAGGGCTGCCGCCATCATGGACGTAGACATGAGCGTCACCAGCTGCCCGAATGACACGATGACCGAGATCGATATCTTGCGGAGGGGCGGCCATTTGTATGGGTTGTATGGGTCGTTGGAGCCATTCCAGCTATTCTGTGTGCGTGATGAGCTAAATGTCAGCAAATGTATTGTAGCGAAAGTATGCTACTGAAACTACTTACCCTGTCTTCTTCCACGGGTTGAGAGGACTGCTGTGGTTGCTCTGATGAGGGAACTTCAGCTGTTCTTTCCGAGGCAATAGCGGCGGTAGTAATGCCCTCTGGTTTAGACTGTTTCTCGTGTCTTGTTTCGAGTTTGCTTGACATTTTCTCCGCAATCTCAAGAATCACGTCAGCAAAGGAAAGGAACAAGGTGGCAGTTGTGATGGCGATGTGAAAATGTAAGTCTAACGCGCGCTAGGGGTGGGTGGAATAGTACCCTTAAATGTAGTGGTTAGTATGAATGTATTGTCAAGGGTTTTGTGCAGACAGAAAATGGATTATGGATTATGGATAGGAATTTGGAACGGCTGGAAGAGAGAGTTCGGTTGGTTCCGAATGGGTTGTCAGTTCGGGGGGGGGTATTCGCAGTGCCAAGGGGGGCTTCCGAAAAGTGGATCAAAGCTTGGAGGGGGGTCTGAAAGTGGGAAATCAGAGTTGTGTAAGATTAGTTGTGTGCGAATACTTAAGCGTAGGTATAGTGAAGTTTTTTTTCTTGAAAAAGGCATATGACTTTGTTGTTAAGATCCATAATTGGCTTAGCGTTAGCGTACACTCAGCATATCTTCAGCTACTGCTTAGCAAAAGTTTTTCCTTCTCTTCTTTTTTCTTTAAGCTATTCTATAATTATTAATAAGTACTACTATAGTATTATCTTAATTAATTTTTATTATATCTTTTATATATACTAATATTATTTTAGATAACTTCCTTTTATACTAACCCTGGCATTTCTAATGCCACTAACCTTAGCTACTTTAGCTATTACTATAGTAAGTATATATAGGGTGTAGGTTAAGCTCTATTTAACTATATACTGATTATATATAAGCCTTATCTTTAACCTTAATAATAGATAAGTCTTTAATAGTATGAACCCTGCTTGTGTATTATATATGTTGAATATTAATTTAATTAATGTAAAGGTCTATGAGGCTTATGATACTAGTTATGCTTGTAAGTATCTAGTTTTACCTAGATATAAGTTATGTATATATTGATATTATTTTAACTAGATACTATTATTACTAAGATAAATGCTAGTATATACTGGTCTATGGTAGAGAACAAACCTAGTATATATTAACTATTAATTTAGATACTCCTAATCCTATTAGTAACCTCTCTTTTATTAATATTAGTATATAAGTATAGTATGGTTTTTATTTTATCTTAGTATATACTAATAATACGCTTAGCTATAATATTATTATTAATATAGCTATTAGCGCTATATATAGTACTGTTATTACCTCTTAGCTTATTATAACTTAATATTTTATATATACTAAGATATTATTGACACTACACTTAGTAATACTACTATATCTATATAGCTTATACTAGTACTAGTATATAAATAGTTCTAGTATATTCTTAGTATATACTTATAATATCCTAGTTATTAACTACTCTTATATTAATATTACTATTACTAAAAAGGCTACTAGTAAGACGTATATACTAAGTATATATACTTCTTTTTCTCTTTTATAACTAGGTATATACTAATTTTATATAGTATTATCTAGAACTAGGTTTATTCTAGTAGCTAGTACTATATAAACTATATTTGTAAGCCTAAGTATATTCTTTGTCTTTTTTTAGTATATATATAATTAATACTTTAATAGTGTTAGACCTAAGAGTAGCCTTATCTACATTTATACTAATAGTATAAAGGAGCTTATATAAGTATATCCCTAGTATACTCTTAGTATATACTTAACTAATATCTTATCCTAGTTATAATAACGTTAATTTTATAGCTACTTATAATATATACTTCTACTACTCTATAAGTATATCTACTAAGTATATACTTAGATCCAGAGAATACTATTTATTTTATTATATATCTTTACTATTTATCCCTTTATAACTAACATAATAAGGTATTATAATATAATATTAAGTTATAAAGATATATAGTTATAGGAAAGGTATTAAAGAGCAAAAAGGTATCTACTTTTAATAAGTAGAATATATTTTTAGTATATACTAAGAATATATTAAGTCTTTACCCTCTAATACTAACATTATAACTATACTAAGCTGTAACTAAACTAATACTAACTAAATACAAGTAAATAATATAAGGAATATATACTAGGAATATATTAGGTATATATAAGACTAAGTTAACTTTAATATAGTATAATAACTCTACCTCCTCTTCTTTACATAAGCATAAGAACATAAGTAGAATATTATTTCTATATATACTTAGTATATACTTATAATTAGTTTAGTATAATAGCCCTCTCTATAAAAAGAGCCCTTTCTCTTCTTCCTTAGCCCTTCTCTATAAAAAGGCTAGTAAGTATATAATATACTCTTTATATATACTTAATACTAATTACATATTAGCTTTTTATAAAAAGAATAAAGCTCTTATCTCTTTTTTTTATGTTCTTTATAAGTATATCCTATATATACTTAGTATGTTAGAATAACAGCACCAGCTGGTTGTACGATACGCACGACTCAGGGACACACATCATGGCAGAGGGCATAGACTGGATATTCGGCCCTCGGTTATCTATTGAGGGGATCAAAAGTATATTCATGCCGAACTGACTCAGGGACGTACAAGATCATATATCTTGTGTACGAAAGCCAAGTCTTGTAATTAGGAAGATAATCACGGAAAATACATCTTTGGTTCACCCTAACTTTAACCCGAGTATGATTGTACAAACGGGTTCTCTCAGGAAGAGAGAATCTATTTAACATAGTATATATATAACTAATCCTAAGAATAAGCTTTATCTACTTTATATAAAAGGAGATTAAGTTTAAGAACCTAAACAAGATTTAAGTATATACTAAGCATTAACTATACTAATAAAGTATAAGTCTCTAAGTATATACTAAGAATAAACTAGGAATAAATTATATCTATAAAGTAAAGAGTATTAATAAATACTTAGTATATACTAAGAATTACTATAGTAGTTAATAATAATAAAGATAATACTTCTCTTATACTATATATATTTTATATATATACTAAAATTATACTAGTAATATACTTTACTTATTCTTTATTTAGATCTTATCTTAGCTAAGCTATTTTTACCTCTAAGTCCTAGATATATTTTTATTATTTTAGCTTTTTTACTTTATATTTAAGTTATTAAATCTTGATTTTATTTTATTCTCTTTTAGCCTAAAAGTATTATTATTATAAATAACTTTATACTTCTTTTTATTATATAAATATATCTACTTTATATTAACTTATTAACTATAAGTGTATTACTTTTTTTCGTAGGTAAGAATAAACTGTAAGTAGTAATAATACTAATAATAAAGTAGGTAAAAGTAAAGATAACCTTAAGGATAAGGTCTATATAAGCAGTATAAATATATAAGGTGTACTTAGAATATACTTAGTATATATTAAAGATATATAAAGAGCTATACTCTTATTATTAGATAATTCTTAGCTATTTATAATATTACTTTCCTTAATACTAAGTATTAGTATATTATATGTATTATAAGGGTTAAATAAAAGATTTAAGTTATTTTGTTAATATTATATTTATTACTTTTATTTTTTGTTTCTTTTTATAAGTAAACAGGTATATCTTACTATTTAGCTTTAATTCTTTTATAAAGATTTAATTTTAGTTTAAGTAAAAATATTTGTTTTCTTTACTTTTTAAAAAGTATAAAGCTTAAGCCTAGAAGATATTAGGTATAGTATTTGTATATACTAAACATATATAACGTATATACTAAAAGTATATTAAGTTTATTACTTACTAAAGTATAATAATAAAAAGCTAAAGTCGTTTTTTAATAGCTTAATTTAATAATATTATTATACTTTTAAGCTAATATTATAGCTTTAAGTTAAATATTATTCATAGAAATAATAAAACTAGATATAATTTAATAAAACTTTTTTCTTTTAAACTAAAATATTATTTTTAGATATTGTTTAGTAATACTTATAATATATACTATATATACTAAAAAACAGTTTAATTACTATACTCTTTATAGCTTTTATTTAGCTAGATAATTAAAAAACTTCTTATACTAATTTTATTATACATAAACCTTACAAAAGATTAACACATAACATAGATGTTCTTTCTATGTTCTTAAAGGGTTAAAATTAGTAAGGTAATTACCTAAGCCTACTATATACTTAGTATATATTATATATAGATCACAAATAAGTATAAAATATACTTAAAAGTAACTTACTATTAGCTTATTTACTATCTATATCTATTATAATAGTATAAATAAAAGAAGAAAAAAAAGGATTAATATAAAACTATTCTTACTTTATACTAGTTACCTAATAAAGCTCTTTAAAGTAATACTTAAAGAAAAGCTTATAACTGTTTTATAAGTAAAAGTTTATTTATATATAGATATATAAATTAATTTCTAGTATAGTTAGTGTATATATCTAGATTATATTTAGTATATACTTAATATACTTTAAGTATCTAAGTTCTATCTATATATTTTAAAGGTATTTATTTCTCCTTTAATTATCTTAAAAGCTATATTAATTTCTAAAAAGCTAGCCTTTAAAAAGGCTTTTATTTTAAAGTATTTAATATAAATAATAATAAAATAGCTATTAAGTAATATATAAATGTTTCTGATTTAGTGTTCTTTTAATAGCTTAGTCTTATTATATAACTATTCCTAAAGTATACTTAATAAATGCTTAGTATATTCTAAGGACCTATAAGGTATATATAGAAAATATACTTTATACTTATAAAGCTATAACTAGCTAGAAACTTAAGTAATTAAGCTTTTTAAATTAGGACTTTAATAATATTTTTATTAAATAAAGCTATATAAATAGTAGAAAAGTAAGTTACTTTAAAGGTATAATAAACCTTATAAATCCTAGGATTTATTAGTAGTTTCTTTATATATACTTAGTATATATATAGTATTATATAAATATATATTTAATATATAGTATTATATAAATATATATTTAATACATAGTATTATATAAATATATATTTAATATATATATAGTTAAAGTTAAGATATTTAGCTTTTTTAAAAGCCTTAACATAAAGCAATATAATAACTAAGATAGTAGTATTATTAGTAGT